GTTCTCTATCTTAACAGAATATAATTGCTGCTGAGAAATTCTTAATTTGTGAGAGAAAATGTGACAAAACACCATTAAGCTGAAATGGAAAACACCAAACTCGCATGTATTATCTTCGTCTTCCAAATGTATAACAACAAAATCTGTTTTGTTAGAGAACTTTACTCCCTTTGTATTTATAGTAGAATTTCCAAAATTACTTAACACATATGGAAGAAATATATCTGTATTGTGGCATTTTTATATTTTTTATAGGACTAACTGATAATTTTAAATAATTAAATAAAATATACTAAAACTACTTATGCTCTCAAATTGATCACACTAATTGTTTTTATGTTATTCAATTAATAAAAGACCTATAACACACACAAATGTCTTCCTATGCATTCTGGAATTTCAGTAATTCTACTATATACAGAGGAGTTAAAGTTGTTCCTCTCAAAACAGTTTTTGCTAAGTTGTACATTTGTAGATGGAGTCAATATTATACGGGGATACAAAATTCTTTTAAGCTTCACGTTACTTTGAAATTTCTTGGATAAAGATAAGGACATTACATAAACATTACGAAATAAATGTCAGACCTCAGTTAATTCTCCAAWGAATTTAGAAAATTGTTATGAAATCTTAAGAATTCAGACATCTATAAATTTAAATTATATAATATATGTATGCCAAGAAATGGATATTTTAATTAATTCTGTTTTTTTACTGATTTTTTTAATTTGATTGATCTACTTGATATATTTATAATTTATGACAATGATTTGATTTGTTTCCATAACTTTAAATATATAAACATAATATTATTTTCTCGCACTGATTCCATACTAAATAATATGTTTGAAAACTGTACAATCTAACCATAAAATATTGATCAGCAACCTATGTTTAATATTAGGTAGTATCAGATATATTTCAACTACAAATGTCTTGTAATTTATTAATTATTTAAAATAAATAATCATACATAAAATAAATTATATTTATCTCAAGAGTTGTAAGTTTGTGGAATTAAAAGAAAATATTTTGAGGGTACCTAAAACAAAAAGAGTAGTAACTCATGTAGAAGATGTTTTTGTATTCTTTATTAAGTTCTGCAACTTACAAGTGGTTACCTAAATGAAATTAGAAGTTGCATATCAGCTTTTATTTTAGTTCAATAAACTTACAGTAAAATTAATTTCTAATGTTGTTTTAATTTATATACATATATATAATATTATAGCGAATCTAGACATTAACCACAGTTCTGATGATGAAAGATTTCCATTATTGAGTCCACAGATTTCTGATGTTAAAAGTTTAAAAAAGGTACATAATTTTTTTTTATTAAAATAAGAAATATTCAATTTTGTAGACCTAATATTTTATTTTACTCATTATTTTTAGGGAAAAGCAAAAAATTCTAAAATAAAATCAAGTGCATCTGATAATGATAATCTTAATATGTGGATGAAAGCAAAAACAAATTGTGAAGTTGTTCTTCCGAATTCAGAAATATTTCTTGAAGCCGGTCAACAAATTGTTAATAATGGTGTGCCCATTGATGGTACAATTTGTTGTTTAATAGACACAGCATATACAAAAGATTACATWAAAAAAGTACGAGATTTGCCGATGAATGTGATGAAAACAAAATTAGCTTTTAATGAAATGTCTGCTCTGCCAAGACTTTTGGGTCTTTTTAAATGTATGGACAGAACCTGCACAAAAATTTTTAGCTCTAAAGATTTATTTAAATTACATATGAAATTACATTTTTCAAATGCAGAAAAAAAAAAAAGTAAAAAGTTTTATTTAAATATTTATTCATACAAAGTAATATTATGTTTTTTATTAACTTTCGTATTTTATAGAAACCCAAATTTATAACGTTGAACAGTTTAAAATGTGTGCCTATTGCTTTAAAGCATTTGAAAATGAAGAATCTTTGGCTGACCACATAGCTGAAAAATACACATTCTGTGAATATTTTTGCCCTCATTGTTTTTATMGTGCTTATACTGCATCTCATGTTTTGGTTCATCAGGTAATATTATTTTTATTTATAATTTTAATATTATAATTTGTGTGTATAAAAATATTTTTATATTTTCAGTCTGTTGTTCATACTGACAAATCCAAAAATTGTATAATWAAACTTGAATATGATGATGGTGGTGCTTTCAAATATCCAAAAGAAATGTTATTGGTGGTAGACTTCAAGGAATTTGTATTGCCTTACAAATGCAACGTTGGTAAGTTTTTTTTTCTATTTTCAATCTTTTATTAGTTAGCAGTTGAAGTTTGTAATTGTATATATTTAATGTAGTTATTGGTGCATTTAGCAAATATACTTCCACAATATACACTGAAGTAGCTCCTTTTTTCAGCATAATTAAGTAATATAGTGCTAAACTGGTGACATAGTCTCCCGACTTCTACTCGCCCACAGTTTATACCATAAATAACTTCACAATAATTTGTTAAATCTTAACGCACCAAAAGAGTTCTAACCATTAATTTGTTTACATAGCTTTAACCTCTCTAAGAAAAATGTCCTTATTGTGGCATTTTGCACGGTATATACAATTACAGTTCCGGTTATTTTAGCGAATGTGGTTTTAGTATAGTCGCTAATCACGTCCCGCTATACGCCTATGTAGGAACCAACGACAAAGGTTGAATTTGCCTTGGTGACTTTAAGCTTTAAGCAGTGGTAGATTTTACCGTGTGGCATAAAAAAAATGTGATGTTACAAATTTGTTCCCTCTTTTTTTTTTTTTGGTTGCCACACGTCAAAGTTTTAATAGCCTTAGTTAGATGTCTACGACATTAATTCAAAATATAGTAGCGTAATATTTACATATATTACTCATATAGGCGTAGATGATCATAATAATATGATATATTGAGATTATAAATTTTCAGTGTATCGTTTCGCCATAAGGTTCTTGAAAAAAAATCATGCCTATGTATCTTTAATATTTTTAAACTTCTGTAAAAAATACTTATGAGGAACCTTGTAACGAAAAAAAATTTGTAGACATTTATTGAAATAAATTTAAAAAAAAAAATTTAATTTAAAATCTCTTACAGCTCAAAGGGATACAAAACATTTTGAAAATGTTACTATGTACGTTTAGAAAATGTTAACATAAGCATTTGGTTGAAATATCTGTACTTATTTATTATTATTTGTTCAGTTATCCGTTTTTGAATCGTAACAT